AAAAAAAAAATTTAATGCTATCAAAAGGTGAGGTCGCATTAATCTTGTTTTCCTTCTCGCCACTGTCGTGAGCCTTCATTCCAAGCCACATACACAAAAAGGGCCAGCACCACGTGAACAGCAACCACTGCGACAATAGCTGCATAAAAATAGCTGTCCCTATTGGACATCCCAAAGGCACCTATCAGGAGACAAAAATAAGTTTGCATTTTATTTAAAAGTTTGTTAAGGTACATAAATAAAGCACAACAATAATTATCAGGTGTTTATTAACTAATCAAACAAAAAAACCCATTTCTGGATGGTAGTGAATCTGATAAATTAAAAGATATGAGTACATTCTACACACAAAAAGCATTATTTTAAATGGAGCCATAATTATAATTTTGTCTAGGGACTTCAAATATGAGATTCATCTGTATTTAACTTTTCCAAACTTTCACATGCAAAAGAAATAAAAACATTAATATATTGAAAAATCTATAGGGCCAGTGAGATACTGAAGCTGTCTAAAGTGCCTGCTTGGGCAAGCTTAGGCAAGCGCACAGAGATCTCAGTTCGATCTCCAGCACTACATGCTGCGCCAGCCTCACCCCTAGGGTGGGCTGAGCTGGCTACACACACACACACACACACACACACACACACACACACTAGCCTGCGGCTGGTTCCATCCCACACGCTCTGCCATGCCAGCCCTGCCCGCTGGGTGCACTGAGATGGTGATTGAAACTGGGCGTGGTGGCCTGCACCTGTAATCCCAGCGCTTGGGAGGCTGTAAACAGGAGGATCACAAGTCCAATCTAGTAGCGAGACCCTTGTATACCTTGTACTAAATACATTTTTTAAAAAATACAATTAAATAAAATCTATGAACAAAATGACAAGCTACAATAATTATAAATGATGAAATACATATTTGAAATAATTCATGCACGTCATTTTTGTGAAGACAGACGTTTACATGCAACAAAGGCATAGAAATTAAATTAAAGGCAACAATGTTTGATCAGCCAAGGATTACCTTCAAAGATGTAGGATTTGGTTGCAAAGTATAAGCCGATGGGCACAGTTATCATAAGAGCCGTGAAAAACAGAAGCGTTTTCAAGGTCGATGCCAAGGAACTTTCATTTCTGGAATTAAAAAAAAAAATAAAGAAAGAAAATAGTATTCCACAACGCCATATACAAATCTCTGTTCCTAAAGGCATAAATGTCCACAGATGAGACCTAGCGAATGTCCCCTTTGGTGGGAGCAGTTAAAAAGGAGGAACAGTGTGGGAATGGCGCACAAGGATTGTCCAGGGACCTGTCGTTCTATATTGTGCGACCTGTTCACAAGCTGTAGACCAGGCTGACATGAAAGCCACGCCCACGCATTTTACTGGCTGGATCTCAGGAGGAAAAATGACTCCCAATTGCGACACTGGCAAACACCCGCTTCTGCGCAGAACCCCGAAGCCAAACAATAAAATCAGTTCGCAATCCGCATCTCCCAGCGGCAGCACAGGACTTCCTGTACTAAGACCAGTCTTTCAAATGCCGCCGTCCCATACAGCTGAGAATAACGACCTCTATTTAACTTAAATGCTACAAAAAAATTATATTTTCATGTATTCCAATCTTCCCCGTATTAAAAATAGAATAAACGGGTAGAATATAATTTTCCTTTTGGCCAATAACATCACCCAAACCTCTGCAACAGTGATTGTCCCCTCCCCTACCAACTGTGCCACTGCGCAGACTGCTAAAGCAAAGTGTGCAGCATTCGGAGGCAAACAGCATGGAAGAGCGGACCCCAGCGGTTGAATTAAGAAATGACATGGAAACTACATCAGAAGATCAAAAAAAATAAAATAAAATAAGAAGACCCAGAAAACTCAACCAAGACTTGTAGATTCTTATTGAAAAGTTTCTGCTTGTCAAAAGAAATCACCAACAGAGTGAAAAGACATCCCACATACTGGGTAAGAATCGTAACTAACAATCACTCAGACAAAGGTCTTCTATCTAGAATTTATAAAGAACTAAAAAAAAAAAAAATTGGCTCCCAATATTTAAAGACCCAATCCAGAAATGGGCATCCGAGATGAACACGTAATTCCTAGAGGAAATTATAGACGTGAATAAATATCTGGAAAAATGCTCCACATCACTAGCCATAAGTGAAATGCAAATTACAACAACATTGAGATTCCATCTCACCGCAGAAAGAATGGCTAACATCAAGAAGTCAGCCAATAATATTTTTATATTAATTTTATTGAGAAACAAAAAGCAATGCGACAGTTTCAAAACAGATCAGTAGACAGTTACAATAATTAATGCATTGCATATTGTTATCTTCGTAGTTATTCACAGTACAAGATGCAGACAGGAATGAACTGAAAGTAGCTATAACTATGCCATTCTGTATATACAGATATATACATTTTTTTTACTACAAATTGGTCTTTTAATTATATCCCTTTTCTGTTAACTTTTGTCAAAGACAGGTATTACCTTGACATTTAGATATTGTAGGTGTGTAAATTCAGCAAAATATTCTAATATAGTCCAGTAGTCCATAATAGTGGGTCATCCACAGGACTGGCAATGTCAGAAGTTGTTGACTTGAGCTTTTTACAGCTCAGCATATTCATATGGTTTTACTTTTTATACCTCCTCTTTATACTTTTCTGCTGGATGGTTAAGACCAAGATAAAGTAAGACCTATATAACAAAAAATGTAACTTTTGTATCTGACAAGGTCAGTCAAATCCCCTCAGGATTTATCCTGAGATCCTGTACCTCAGAATGTAGAACTTTTGTCAGTGTCAGCCATGTGGATGAGTCACGGCTATTGCTTGGCCAATGTGCTCTCTGTGAAAGCCTGAGAGAATGTTTTCTCTCCATGTGACTCTCCTTAGGCACACTCTACATCCTCAAGCACTTTCCTCTGCGGCCCCATCATCTCCTTGATCAGAAAATTTGGGACACCACTGAGTTACAGGATGTTACAGTACAGGTTCTCTTATGTCGTGAGTCCTCATTGACCTTGAAGGGGCAGGGCCACAATGTTGGCTACCTTTGTTAGCCCTTCTTTTTCTCTAATTTTTGGTCTGCAAACTTAAGTTGTTAACCCTTCAGAAGAGAAACTTAATGATATTATTACCCTAAAACATAGGCAGTTGAGCTTACATCAGTATCTGTCTGAATATCAATCGCTTTAGACATAACATAGAACAGGTATTTTCCATCAATTGTTGATATGCTAAACTTTAAATCTCTACAGAATGTGAAAAAATAATAATAAAGAAATAGAAATAAACAATTACAAATTTTCACAGAAATTTAGAAATCTAACCATATACAACATTGTAGCAGGACAGTCCTATGACATTTTTTTTCTTGTCTGTTTTCCTTTATTACTTTTTCTTAAACATTTACTTTGAGAGAGAGAGCATAGCAGTAATTGATAAGACATTAGAAGCAGTATGCTTTCAGAAGACCAGGATGACAGGTATTCCAAGCATAACCCTAGTATCACACATTGCTATCCTCAGTGCAGTTGCTTAGTTCACAGATATCAGTATATATAGTTAGTTGGGGTGAGAAGCCTACCAATTAACTGCTAGTTTCAAAAACCTGATGGAGATTCTCAGGGCCATTGCCTTAACTATCTTGTGTATATAAATGTGTGGTTTTGTCCCTGCCATGTTTCCTAGCTTTTCTCCTTGCCCTCTCTTCATTGTTTAATCTTTTAAGTTCTCACTTTCCACTTAGTTGTGTTATACCATTCAATTTTTATTTTTTCTTTTGAGTTCTTAGAGAGACTATATGATATTTACACAATAAACACTGGGAAAAGGGAACGAACTTATTCAAAAACGAAAGTTACTGAGTTGAGGAAACAGACAGGAAAGAGAGTAGGGAAGAGGCAGGGGGATATATCTATGAATGTGAGCAGGATGCTTTGGACAACTGTACTGTGCATTTCTACTGGTCTATAGAAAGGAGCAGATAGTAATCTGTTTTTACTTCTTTTTTCAATTATTTGTACTTTTCTTAATTTCTTATATACTTCTTTCATTTTACTCTCTTCTTCCAATTTTACATGCATATATCTAGCAATATGAATAACTGGTTGGAAGACAATACTATGTATTAAAACACTGAAATTCATATTACTTTTTTCAGTGAAATTCTGTATCACTTATAATTTTTTGTGTCTCAATACTATTTTATACTCTCTTTGAAAAGTAAAAAGTTAAAAAAAATTAAAAATTAAATAAAAACCAAATTCAGTTGTGCAGCTGGATACAAAGTCAACATTCAAAAAGCAATAGCTTTCCTCTACACAAGCAACAATTTCATGGAGAAAGAAATTAGGGAAACCACACCCTTCACAATAGCATCCAAAAAAATGAAATACTTAGGACTCAACCTAAAGGAAAACTCTATACAACAAAAATTACAATACTCTAAAAAAAGATGGAAGAGGATCCCAGAAAATGGAAAGGGGACTGGCCAGATTGTTCAGCAGAGTAAAGTGCCTGTTTAGGGAGAGCACAGCAACCAGGGTTTGATTCCTGGCGTGCCATGCAAGTCCTGTCCCCGGTGGCACGCTGAGATGGTGATTGAGACTGGGAGTGGTGGTGCATACCTGTAATCCCAGCACTTGGGAGGCTGAAAATTGGAGAATCACTATTAGTCCGATCTATGTAGTGAGACCCTGCAGACCCTGTACCAAATACATTAAAAAAAAATGGAAAGATATCCCTTGCTCATGGATAGGAAAAACCAACATTGTGAAAAGGGCATACTCCCAAAACTGTTATAAATATTTAACACAATCCCAATCAAAATATCATAGCATACCTCACAGAACTAGAGAAAACATTTCTAAAATTAATTTGGAACCAGAAGAGACTTAGAATATCAAAGGTAATCCCAGGCAACAAAGCCAAGTCAGGAGGTATCCCAATCCATGACTTGAAATTATGCTACAAAACTACTGCAATAAAAATCAGCATGGTACTGGCAAAAAAAATAAAAATAAAAAAACCACAGACCTAAGGATAAATTGAACAGATCAGAAGATGAAAACACAACTACAAACACACTCAGCCACCTTGTCTTTAACAATGGTGACAAACATGTTCACTGGAAGAAATATAGCCTCTTTAATAAATGGTGCTGGAAAATCAGGCTGACTACATGTCAAGACTAGAACTAAATCCATGTCTAACACCATGCCCTAAACTAAAGTCAAAGTGGATCAAAGATCCAAATATTAAAACAGAAACACTGAATATACTGGAAGAGAAAGTAGGTTGAAATACTGAAGACGTAAGTGTAACCAGAGACTTCATGAACATAACAGACTGCAAGGCAAATACTTCAATCAACAAATAGGATCTCATTTAATTAAAATGCTTTTGCACAAAAAACTACCAACAGATTGAAAAGACAACTCAGAGTGAGAAAAGTTTTAGCCAGTTGTGCCTCAGACAAAATACTCATATCTAGAGCATATAAAGAACTGAAAAATATCAGAACCTCCCCAAATTCAAAGACCCAATTCAAAAATGGGCATCTAACATAAAATACACTTCTCAGATGAATAAATACAAATGGAAAATATATGAAAAAATGTTCAATATCATTGGTCATTTGAGATAAGCAAACTAAAACAACACTGAGATTTCACCTTACTCAAGAACAGCTAAGATCAAGAAGTCAACCAATAACAAATAACAAATACTGGAGGGGTATTAGGAAAAAAGAACCCTTCTCCACTGTTGGTGGGAGTGCAGACCTGTGCAACCACTGTGGAAATCAGTGTGGAAAAGTAGACTCAGCTATCCTGCTTCTTGGTATCTTCTGAGAAAAATTGAAAACATCATACCCCAGCAATATATGTGCACCCATGCTCACAGCAGCACTGTTTATAATAGCTAAATCTAGGAAACAATCCAAATGGCCATCAACTGAGGAATGCACAAAAGCGATGTGATATGTTTATACAATGGAGTACTACTCAGCTATATTTATAGGTAAATGGATGCACCTTGAGACCATATTTATAAGTAAATAAATCAGACCTACATGTGTAAACATCATGTTGTTGCCTTGATCTGAGTAACTAAAAGAGTAAATAAAGTCTAAAATGTACGATAGATACTGTTAAATGGGAAGAAATGATTTAAAAGGAAATAGGAACTAGGTTAGGGAAAAGCAAAGGAAGAGAGAGAAAAAGAAAAACGTGCAAGTTAGTTAAACTATTAATGTTTCTTCTTTCATTGAAAAGTTCATGCTAATATTGATTGCAGAAATTTTTATGCCCATACCTTGCACTAACTACTTTAAAGATAATGTGTAATGTATTAACTATTTTATTTTGTTATGAAATTGTTTTACTTTTCATTTTAAAAATGACATGTGTTTTAAAGAAAACCAATTACTTTCTACCACTCAACTAGTGGTATTTTCTACATATTAATTTCTACATATTAATTTCTAAACCCCACACTCTACCTGTAGCCTACATTAATGCTCATCAACCAATGAATGGATTAAAAAGTTGTTTTTAGGGGCTGGGGACATAGCTGGGTGGCCTAAGCGACTGCCTGGCAAACGCAAGGACCAGGGTTTGATCCCTGGTACAGCATGCTATGCCAGCCACCAAGACCGGGCATAGTGGCGCATGCGTATAATCCCAGCACTGGGAAAGCTGAGACAGGAGGATCACTACAAGTCTGAGCTGCATAGCAAGACACTATGCCAAACAAACAAATAAATAAAAGATTAAAAAGAAAAATTTGTAAGTTTTTTTATACCATGGAGTACTACTCAGCCACTAAGAAAGATAAAATTGAGATCTTTATAGCTAAATGTATGGACCTTGAGTTCATGACTAAGTGAAAAAAAAATCGTACACATGTAAATATTGTATTCCCTGATGTAAGAAAATGACACTTTCCTACTTTTTTTTGGTACCAGGAATCAAATTTAGGACCTTGCACTTGTTAGGCAGGCTCTATGCCACTGAGCTATCTCCAGACTCAAAATGACACTTTAAATAAGAACCAAAACATACATTAGCTATTGGGAAACAGGAAGAAAATGTTAGAAAGGAGAAGGAAACCAGGGACAGAAAAGGATAAAATGAAAATAGAGCTTTGTGAACAGGGAGGGGAAGTGGACTTGACATGACAGGAATTGAGGGGAAAAAGAACAATCAAGACACACCATGTACAAATACAAATTCTGTATCATGAATCTGACCATTATGTGTACCTGAGTTGTACCTGTAACCTTATATAAAAAAAATGTATAGCCTATCCTCAATTTCTTCTACTTTTTTTTCTTCTGCATTTTAGGGAAGGGTCTACAGGGTGTCCCGGGGCTCACTACTAGCCTGGACTTGTAGTGATCTGCCTGTTTACAGTATCTCAAGAGCTGGCGGCCACCACGCCCAATCTCAGTTGCTATCTCAGTGTGCCCCGGGGCAGGGCCGGTTTGGCAGGCCCCTGAGTCTGCTCGTAGGTGCTTTAATCTGTTGAGGTAATTGGCTGGTCCTCTATCTCACTACTGTTAAATTTCCAAAATTGGATTACTTTTGTCAGTTATTATGTCAACTAATTTAGGACTAAGTATAATTATACATAGCGGGATAACCTAACAAATGCACTGCTAGACGATGATGCAAGTCATTGCGCAAACACATTCTCGCACAAGCTAAGAAGATGGCTACAACATCATGATATACATAATCCTATAGGACCACCACTCTACATGTGGCCTGTCATTGGCCAAAACATCCATGTCATTGGCGCATGACCATGCAGGGTACACATTAAGGGTACAAACCTTTGAGAACTACCTAAATTCCACCAATGTTTACTGTACATTTTCTCCTTGCCTTCTGACCCACCCCACTGCAAATGGCAGCTCTGCTAGCACAAACCAGCTTGGGTAGACTCTGCAGTTTATTACAAATAAAATGATGTCATTCGCGGCCTGTAATCCCAGCACTGACGAGGCTGAGGCAGGAAGATCTTTGTGAGTTTGAGGCCAGCCTTGACTACACAGCAAGACCCTGCCAAAAACAAAACAAAAATTTGCTAGTATCCTCATAAAGGAGCCTACCTGGACAAGGGAAAGTAAAAAGACCACAGGGCTCCACTGATTACAGGCTCTGGGGATGGTGGGCTTGGTCAAATGTCGGCTTCCACACTTGGGAAGTGTGTAGTTATAACTGGTTAAGTCTTGGGTAAGTTTCTTATCCCACGTCAAATTTTACCCTTTCTTGTTTTTGTTTTGTGTATTAGGGAAAAGTCTACAGGGTGTTCAGGGTCTCACTACCAGATCGGACTCGTAGTGATTCTCCTGTTTTCAGTCTCGGAAGAGGTGGGATTACAGGCGCGCGCCACCACGCCCAGTTTCAACCGCCATCTTAGCTCGCTTTAGGGGTGAGGCCTGCACAGTAGGCCTGGGCTAGAACCGCAGGCCCTTGGGTCTGTTTGCAGGCGCTTTAGTCCACTGAGCTATTTGACCGGGCCGAAATTTTACCCTTTCAAAATCAGGAAGCTAAGCAGTTAGAGGAACTAAGAACTAAGAAATTCGATCATATATGTCAAATGCCTGGCCCCCAGTAAACCTCAATAAATGGGAGTTACTCCTTCCCCACCCATCTCCTTGCCTACTGGAATAGGGTGTAACACCCGTGTCTCCATCACATTCCTTCTTCTCAGCCAGTCGTCCCCATCCCATGATCGGCGTCCCCCAAAAAGGGCGGGAACCAGCCTCTACTCCCTTCCATTGCTTCATTCCCACAGCAGACACATTAAAGCCCACGGTGCGGGTCTGAGTAGGGGACGTGCGGATGAAGGAGGCCAGGTTCCTGCCCTCAGAGAGCACATCCTGCAATAGGGAAAGAGACTACAAACTGGAAAAGTACAATCCAGCTCTCCAGGAGAGAAGCGCTAGGGCAGAAGCTTGAGCTGTCGCCCACGACCCGGAATCCCTTGCGCCCACGAGTGAAAGGGCTGGGTCCGGAAGCACAGACCCGCAAGTTCCAGGCTGCTGCCTGTGTCCCCCACCTCGCGGCCCGACCCCGAGGGTCCAGGTCCCTCGTCCACCCACTTCTGTGCGGGCCTTCCCGCACGCCCCGCTCCAGGCTGGGGCCAGCAGGCCTGGAGCGCCAGGCATGGCTCGGGGCTACCTGAACTCTGGTGGCTGCAGCGCGTTCAACGCCGCCTTATCAACCCGCTCCATGGCGTTGCCGGGCCGGCAGCAGGTACTCAGCGTCGACGAGCTGCGATCAGCGATCTCGCTCCCGGGGACAGACGAGCAGATCCCTCAGTGAGCGGCTCAAGCTCCCGACGGCGGGTTTAAACGCGCAGGCGTGGCGCGGGGCGGTGACGTAGGAGCAAGGCGCGCGCAGGCGCAGTGTGCTTACGCACGGGACTTACCCGCGGGGGCTGCGTGGCGTACGCCCAGCCAGGAGGGGCTTGTGTTCCAAGAGCAGGCCGGGCGAGTACCCCAGCCACTCCACGTTGAGGCGGGCCTTTCCGCGCAGCATAGTCCTCCCGGGTGGGCGGCTGTGTTGCCGCCCCTCAGCTGTACTTAGCACCTCTGGTCTCAGACTCGGCCCCAGGCGTGGAGCTTCGGGAGCTAGGCGACTGGGTGTAGAGGAGCTGCGAGGAAAGACAAGCGGGCAGATGGCTGCGGTGCTAGGCAACCGAGCAGTTTCTGACAACAACACAAGCAGTGCACATCGTTCCACCAGCCTGGTGCAAGCGCCTCCTTAATGACTTCCTGCAGTGTTAGTCCAGCTGTGGGAAGCAGGAGGAGTTACTTTACCACTCACCCGAGCTTGTATAACTAAAGATCTGCCACTTGAAAGAGCTCTTGCTGAGAGTGACTGGCCCAAGCCAGTAGCCAGTGACCCTGACATCCACTTAAAGTTATAAACATAGTATGCAGCTGCTCAAAAGCCACCAATGGGACAAAGGGGACTCAAATAGTAAGGACAGATGGGCCTCTAGCACATGCAACCCGAGAGAGGTATAAACGAGAAGGGTGTGTGGGCCCAGGGTCATGCTTAACAAAACTAGTTTGCTACTGGCTGCTAATAAGAGCACAGCCCTTACATGGTCAACCCCTGGAAAGGGCCCCGGACCATACAGCTATTTTCTGCACCGCCGCACTAGCAACTTAGGGTGGGAGAGAAGTAGGGCACTGAATACCAGCAAGCCCGGGTTTTAGTTCAAACTATAAAAAAAATCCTTCTCTGGGCCTCATGGAAATCCTTACGTGGAAAAGACTTGCCCCTGGTATAAGAAGTTGGGAGAGAATCTAGCTCGGGGTTTGGCAAACTGGCCAACCAATCAATCATTAATATAGGGGCTGGGGAGATGGCTCAGTAGAATAAGTGCTTCCCTGGCAAGTGCAAGGGTCTCAGTTCAATCCCTGGTTCCACCAAAAAAAAAAAAGAAAAAAATCACTAATATACCCTACCACATTTTGTCCACAACCCTTGAGCTAAAAATTGGCTTTCTATTTTTCAGTGGTTGAAAAAGGTGAGTAAAATAATTCCCCACAACACATGAAAGTTATGAAACATAAATTTCAGTTCTTGTAAATAAAATAAGCTCGTATCGGAACTGAGCCATGCTCATTCATTCATGTTAGTGACACCTGCAGTTCAAAGTACTTGTGATACAGATCATATGTTCTAGAAAGCCTCAAATAGCTACTGGCTGGCCCTGTGCAGGAAGTTTGCAAAACCGTGTTCAACCTGATCACCCCACAGTCAGGTCCTGACCTCCTAGACATCCACAAACATTCATAGAGGTTCCAAGAACAATTACCAAGACATTTTATAATGTAACAAGTGTATTTATTTGCCACAGAACATAAAAAGCTACTTAAAATCTCACGTTTCTTTGACCTACAGCACTAATTATATCACATTGAAGAGTTAGTTCTGGTTAACACGTGAGAAAATGTACAAATTACTACTCAACAAAATCAAGCCATAGCATACTGAGTAGATCTTTTAAAATATGGAATGAACCAAAGGGGAAGGATTGTGTATTCCCAATGCATAAAATAGAACCTGGAGTAGGTTCTGTTGTGTTCCAGGAGGCCCTGAAGAAATATTTGTTAAATAAATTAGCATTGTCCACTAGGCTTCTTGGCAGTGAAAACAGTAGAAACCACTGCTAGGGGCTTCCATTTTTAAAAAGTATCAAAATTATGTGGTGTGCACAAGAGCAGCTAATCATCTCTCCCACACCAGCCAGAGCAGTGCCCACCTGTAGTCCCAGCACTCAGGAGGCTGAGGCAGGAGGATCAGTGTGAGTTTGAGGCCAATCTGGGTTACAAAATGTGCTCAAGTCCAGCCTGAACTGCATAGTGAAACCCTGTCTCAAAAAGACAAAAAAAAATCATCTCTCCCTGTGGACACTAAACATCAGAGACTAAGGTAAGTTCTTTCTGTGAGGGTTTGTGGGAAGCCTGTGTTCCATGCCTCTCTCCCTTAGCTTCTGGGTGTTAGCTGGCACTCTGGCATCCCTACATCTGTGTCTGTGTCAAAATTTCTCCTTGTAAGGACACCTGTTATACTGCATACTCCTTTATGATACTAATTTGTTACTCTTGTGACAACAGTACTTCCCAATAGAGTCACACCCTGAAGTACTGGACGGTAGAACATGAGCATGTGAATGGGGAGGGGTACAATTCCAGCCATAATAACCGCACAGATAAGGCAACCATGGAGCAGAGAGGGAAAGGGAGTTTGCGGGTGTCTCGCGGCTAGCTAGTGAGGCCGAGCTCAACTCCTGACTCTAGGCACACATTTTTACATTGTTATCTTAACAGACTGTGTGGCGGCTACGTGGCAGCTCACCCAGGAGCTAATTTACACGTGAGATTTGATATATGACAAAATGCTTCCTTAATCTAATCTACATATTTTGTTCTTTTTAAAAATGTAATCTAGGGGCCAGCGAGACAGCTCATTGGACTAAAGTGCCTGCTTAGGCAAGTTTAGGCAAGCACAGGGACTGAGGTTCAATTCCTGGCACTACATGCCACACCATCCCCACCCCCAGGGCGGGCTAAGCTGGCCACAGAGTCTGGGCATAGTGGTGCACACCTGTAATCCCAGCTCTGGGGAGGCTGACTAGAGGATCATGATGAGTAGGAGCTGCGTAGTGAGACCCTGGAACAACCAAATACATTTTTAAAAAAAATCTAATTTACATATTTTGTTTTTTGTATAAAATAAATCTGTACGTGTAACTCTTTCTATAACTTTTTATGATGACCTATACACTGTATCACCATTTACTGTGAGTTCACTGAGGTGCCCAAAGAACTTTAAGAATAAACTCAGAAAGCTAGGCATGGTGACTCACGCCTGTCATCCCAGCACTCAGGAGCATGAGGCAGGAGGATCGTTGTGAGTTCAGACCAGCCTACGCTACAATGTGAGCTCGAGGTCTGAACTGCTGACCATCTCAAGAAGACAAAAAGAAAAAAAAAAAGAATCAACCCAGAAGCTGTAAAGGAAGGAAAGTATTTAGCCAGCACTCTGCCTGGACAAACAAAGCCCTGGAACCTCCCACCTGACGCAGCTGCTAAAGCATTAGAGAGAAGTGGAGCTCAAACAGGCTGTTGCCATGGGGATGAAAAGGCAAGGGGCTGTGGTCGCGACAGAAAAAACCACCTAGTGTCTCGTTAATTCTCTGGGAATCAGTGAACAATTCTAAAAAGCCCCCCTCTGATACTTTGCTGTTAGCTAAGAAAGCTGACAGCTAAGGATGGGAAGTAACAGGCCCCAAATACTTTGGGTCAGCGCTAAGACTTGAGGCTATATGGACTCCAACTCAGTCTAGTGAGTGCTTTCTGCATGGAGAGTGTGCAGCCGAGGTGAGGTTTCGGAAACAGCCTTCCCAATTGCTTCACCAACGCACAAAGGCACACTGCCCCGCAGATCCCTCATGGGCCTGGGCAGTGGGGCTGCTTGGCATAGCCAGAGCTAAACCGCAGCGGTGCTTTCTGAAGCCTGACCTTGCCGTATGGCATTTTCCAAACCAGGACATAAAGAAAACGGAAATGAGCTCCACCATCCCACCCACAAAGCTTGTGCTAAACAGAGGAGACACGCAGACATGCACCCACGGGTTGGGGGATTCTGGCTTCATGGTGATATGGGACGTCATGTTTCTTCTAAAAATATCAAATGTGCGCCCTGGATAAAAATATATAGTCCTGATTGTAAAAAAGCTGTTAACAATTATACATAGTAAAAACCTGCGCTCGCTGTCAGCATCGTGCATGTCTACTGCTTCCTGGTGCAGAGCTTGTTGCCTAGAACGCTATAGCGTCCCTCTCATGGGTAGAAAAAGGGGGTGACAGAACGTTGCGGCGTGGTGCACTCGCAGCTTCTTTTTCTCTTATGTGTCAATTCAGCACTCTAAGTTCAGCCAGAGCACTAAGCAGAGCACGGACAGTAGGACCACGGAGGGTTCAGGGTCCCTGGACGGCCACTGCTCTGCCCACCTGCCTTACACTGGGAAAGAGAAAGCACCCGCTGGAGAGGCAAGAAACGGGCCTTGCTGCCTGCCCAGCCCCCCACAGCCCCTGCCACGCCAGGAGAGGAGCCCTGCCCATGACGCATGGCAAGGCCCCAGCTGCCAACCCAAACTGACAAACCATGCCCCAAGTACTTTCCCGATGGGCCCTCCACCACAGGATACGTCACGCTGAGGGGGTAGGACTGGACGAGGACTCCCTGAGGACTCATGCCAAGGTAGATGCACAAGTTGTGCCCAACTAGTGCCAGGCTCTGAGGAGGTCCTGGAGACCAGAGCAGGTGTGCCAGCTCCTAGCCCATGGGACTGCTCCTCGAAGCAGGAGTGTGGGGTGAAAATGCCTGCCCCAGCCCGGCCTGTCCTGCCCTCAGTTGTTAAATGAAACACACACACATTTGATGAATAGGTGAGAGGGACCTAAATGAGTATCCGGTGTTTGCAGGATTGCAAAGCAACTCTAATTTTTTATTCAGGTTTTGTTGTCAGTCCTGTTCTCAGGTTTTACTGTTGCCTTGCTCCAGGTTGAAAAGATAGAAACAGCAGATAAAGGAAGAAATGCAGGCGCCGCGGGAAAAAGAATCCCAGGAGAAGCAAGACAAGGAGGAGCTGGTTTCGGGCAGGGCTAACTAAAGACATTTCCCAGGTGTCCCTTGGTGCCTGAGTGCCTGCGGGCATTCCTTCTCCAGTGCAGTGAGGTGAGGGACAAAAACAGGCCTCCAAGTCCAGGCCTTGGGGCTCACAGGCCCTGGGCTGCTGCCCTGGCTCAGGAGCTAAGAAGCCCAGATTCCCTTCCACGAAGGGCAAGGTGAAGGGCACGCGCACACGTGTGCATGCATGCGTGCGTGCGACCCGGGAGGCTACTGGTGACTTGTCAGCACACACAGGAATTTATATAATTAAACACAAAGCCTCTTCCATTTCAGAAAGACTCTCCAAAAAAGTTGAATGAAACTTTTAACAGAATAACCATTAAACCAGAATGTGGTGTGCATCACAGGTGCTCAGCTCCAGGGACTGCAAGACAAAGCACACAGAGCAAAATGAGTAGCATGGGGTCACAGGGCAGTAGAAGCTAGACCCCTCTCCTCCCAGGGGACTGCAAGCTCTCCTGTTACCTTCCTTGCTAATTTTATTTCAAAGCTATATTTCCCAGGTCTGTGATGAGACATTCCTCTTCGTGAGATGGGTAAGCTGCTGACATAATCATTTGCAGGGTACAAATTAATTTTAAAAATGGAAAACTATTTTATATACCAATAATGAGCTAGCTTCAAAAAAAAAAAAAAACACCTTGGAATTAGCCTAAGTCAGTAGGCCAAGGATCCCCTATGTGAAAACAACTGAACAGCAAAGAAAACATAACATTGGAAAGGTTGAAAAGAGCTTTTGAAGTTGGAAATTATTCATA